TTCCTTCTGCCAGTCAGTAATAATTTAAGGGTTAAAATCAAGACATATCTACAGAAACCTTTCCCAGAGAATCATTTTTCCATGCCTACATGAACACCGCTAATGATCTGCATTAGTTGCATAGAAAGCTTGGTTAAGTCTTCAATAAAATTAGTAGCATGCTCATGCATACATATTACTGCATTTACAGTGGTATAGGTAAGTCTGTGAGCCTAACTATAATTTCATTTGAAGGGAAGTCATTCATATCAGGCAGCTCCAATTTCAAATAATTCAATGGGAAATTGGTACTTAAAACTGGAATCTCTTCTGGCCATAAGCCCTAACAAGGAAACAGGCAAAGGAAACATGCATCATTCATTCTAGACATGGAGCAAATGCTCTACGTCTAATTTGTTTTTACTATTGGTAGCTACATTTCTTCCATTGTCAAGTTGAAAAGCAGAATATGCAAACACTTCTCATTTCATGATGAGGGTATTTCTTTGTATCTGTTCTATTTAATCTAATGCTGATGTAGGCTCATTATATATCATATGCTTCCTACTGAACTTCTGCCTAGCCACTACATTTTTCAAATTAAATTAATAATTCAAAAACACAAAGGTTACTGTAAACAATTTAGTTTCCTTTTCTACATGTGATTTCCTGCCATGCCCTAAGCAATATAAAAAATTAATTTAAATCTAAGAGTCTTCAGAAACTATTAAATATTGACTCACTAATCCTTTGCCTAAGGATTTTCTAATTACTTGAAGAAAACTGATTAACCTGGAGGTTAATTTAAATTTCCAATTGCATTAGAAAAAAAGAATAATAAAATAACTTTTCTTTCACCAAGAATATACATCCATTGCAATTATGGTTGCTATTAAAATTTGAAGACATTCAGGATTTTATTTTTTTAACATAATGGACTTGTCTATGCAAATAATCTCCAAGACTTATATGCACAGTCTTGACTCTTTTTGCACAGTCTTGACTTTTTTGCACCTCTGAGTTCTAAAGAGTACTATCAAAGCCAATTCTTAATGGAACCAATTTAGTGTCTATTAACTTTAGACTTACCTTTATAAATGCAGATTTTTTTCACATAATCCATATTGTTACTGAACCCTTTGAAATGTAATAGACTTTCTCCTTCTACCCAAGATTCCATGTGCACACAAGTGCACTTGCAAACACACACATGAAAAGCACCCAGTTGAAATTTATGACAATTTTGTCATACGTGAAGTGTGTCTTGATTCTACCGTTAAGTAAGATAGATGTCTGACAAATATATCATGTCAACAGGTTTTAAAAGCATTTTGGAGTCCATGAAATAACTGATATGCCAATAACCTGGGTTTCAAAATTACTTTTAAGAATATCTGATAAATTTATTCATTTTAAGAATGTGCCTAATAGTTTTAAAATTTTGCTTTTAAAATATTCCATAATTTAGCTATTCTATAATTAGTTCCTATTATTTGTTAGCTTCCAGATGACATTCTTGCTCCATATTACCTCCAACTATTGAGGCATTTTTTTCTCTGTAATGTCTATATATTGGTTATGGATTATCTGTACACACACATGCACACACACATAACACACACACAACCACGTGTGAAGCTGACTAAACTTGATAATATTTTCCTCTAAAACAAAATACATTGTATTTCAAGACAAATATCTGTCTTATAAACTATGCATTTGTTCCTTTCTTTCCTATGTTAAATGTTTTTGGAAATCAATAAACGTCCATAGGACATGCTGACTAGCATGTCTGTATCAAATTCTATTAATGTAAGTTATGTAGTGTTAATAAATATTTCAGAAATTGTACATTCTTTTAGAATGCTATTCTGTAACTGAAAATATGGTTTGGTAAGTTTTAAATATCTCTCTTTGAGGCTGGAGACTCTTTTCCTTTAAAATTTATGTTATATTCTCTAGACATTATATCTGTAAACAGTTAAATTTTAAGTGACCTCTGTGCCAACATCTTCTGGTGTTTTTTAAGCATCATTGCTACTTGAACATGAAGTTCTTAAAGCAGCAAAAACTCATTTTCCTACCTTCTATGTTGAGGTTTGCCAAGGTAAAAATCTGGTAATTCAGGCATTTAAAGATTAGAAAATTAACTCTGGGCAAGACAGTTCTGGAAAGCAATGTCTGATTGGAAGCTCTTGCTTTCCAGACATGAGGCATCAATAACGCACAGTCATTACATACTTTGTTCATAAATGTACTTCCTATCAATCTTTGTTAAATCAGGTTAAGCATGAATGCTAATTTCCTGGATGTCTTCCAAAAGTGTCATTGCAAGCTTACTAAAGAATTTATTTAAGGAATCACACTTTGGAATTCACAAATACAGAGTGGCTATTTTAAAATATGTCATATGAAAGAGAAAATGGCGTAAAAATGAGTGAAACATTTTCTTTGGTTATCACGGGCAGATCTAACTACATTATTATTCTGGACAATATATTTGTCTTTTAATGCTTTTCTTATCTAGTGATCCAACCTTGCCTTCAGTGCACAATGAATCTCTCTATATATGAAATTACAATGTTAAGAATAACTTAAGTGTTTGGAATTTTTCATTAAATTTTATGATTTTATTGTATATATAGTCCATGTATTTGCTAAGTCTGTTATTTTAATACACATTTCTAAAAATGACTTCAATGTATTAAAATAAAATTCTATAGTTTCCCTCTATCTACTTTCTATCCTATCTACTTTTAAAAAGTTAATTTGTAGAAGTGGAGAGAAAAATTCTGCCAAATAAAGGCATATTATTTAACAATTTGTGAGTACAGTGAAGACTGTGACTGAAAATTTAGCAATACCAATTCACTAATTTTTTACAAGAGAAAATGGTCTATGATGTAATCTTTATAGCTACCTGATGTAAATACATAATATTATCTCACTGAATAAATGATTGCTATGGGTGTAATCTCCTCATAATACACTATAGTATTCATTCTGGTAACGTCGATGACTATTAACAGAACATTATTCTTTGCATACATCCAGGACAAAGATAAATCTGATTCTTTTAGGGCCTCTAAGCAGCCAGCTTGGGTCACTCTTCTTATGTAACATACACTTAAACTGCAATAAGCTATGTGAAATATTTTTCATAGTGAGCAACTGAAGGGATTGGCAAATCAAGTCCCACAGTTGCTTTTGCAAATAAAGATTTAGTGGAACACAGCCACACAATCAGTTCATGTACTGTTTATGGCTGTGCTCATGGTGTGGAAGTAGAACTGAGTAGTGACAACGATAACTCCACCACTCACACTAAAGTATTTGCTATCTGAAAGGAAAAACCTGCTAACCCTTGATCTAAAGGGATACATGGATAAGTAAATGGAATCCATTTCAAGTACAATGCTTTGAAAGCTCCAGAACCAAAGCTATAATCCCAGAGAAGGAAAAAATACAGTTTACTTATCCATCCTTAAAGTATATACAACATGAACTGGGTATTTTAGGAATTATCTTTAAAACATCAAGAAGCCACAGACATCCATTAGAATTTCCCAGTTCTGTATTAAAAAGTACATATCTATGTTCTAGAGTTGAATTATTATATTTCAAAGTATATTTTTAGAAATAACTATTTTTCCCTAAAATTACCTTTGACGCTAACATAAAGAAATATTCATATAAAGAAAATGCTAACATAAAAATGGTTGGTTAAACTAGTCCTGAATTACTTGTTCCCTAAGCAACATAAGTAAAAGCCAGGATATTTTGTTTGCTGTGAAATGTTTGTTTTTAATTTTCCTACTCAGTGCTTTTTTAAAAATGCCTACACACAAACTGTTTGGTTAATGAAGAGAAACATCTGAACTCTTTTTCTGATGTTTATTTGTTATAAATAACACACTGTGAGCCAAATTTAACTTACCATCATTTCAAGTGCATAGTGGTTACAGCTTAGCAACAGCCTTTTCAGTATGTTGACATTGGATACAGAAGATGGACTGTTTGGTGGAATGTTTTTATTTTATCAATACAAGTGAGACTTTAAATGTCTTTATTATAATTTAACTACTTGATATTGACTATCAATTTGTATCACATTCTGCAATATCAATTTCAGAAACATCTGGAGCCTCATACACCTATTAGTATCTCAGAGCCAACTAGTCACGAACAGAGGAAGTAATACAATTGCTTTTGTTAATGTTCGCATGCGGCAGGCAGAGGCAGTCAATATTAGACCTGGTAAAACACATCTAGCTCTAGGTGAATCTGAGGGGAGATGCAGCAACAAGAAAGCAGCACCGACTGAGCATGCTCCTATTCAGGCAGAGACAGAAAGGGAGTGGACGTACTGTAGAAGCTGGCCATTACGTAGTTTTGGCAGCGATCACCAGTAAACTCATTTGGGCACCTGAGAGAAGAAACAAAAAACAATGGTAGAAAAAAAACAGAGAAAAAGAGAAGAGGTGAATATATGCTAGAAAGAAGCTCCTTCAGTGTCATTTGACTGAACTTGGTGAGTTCACCCTCAGGAACTGAATCTTTGTCCTCATCATGGCCTTCACACTCTAGCATTTCCCCCAAATGGATAAAAATTTGGACAAATGCAGTTCTTGGGTTTGTAGGATGGAAAGAAACTAGTTTTTTAAGTGACTGCTTTCTTTCAAAGCAAGCCACTTAAAATTAAATCTGGTGTTTTATTCATCTAGTTTTCTATTTGCTTTGTTGAATGATGTTGGAAGGAAATGATATTTGGGGGGACATGCCTGCCATTACTGTCAGAATTGCAGGCCATTCTGATTGGCCATTCTTGTACATTTATGACTTTGAAATCTATGTGGAGAGACAATTAAACAAGGCCACAGTGGATGGGTTTATGCCCTGAGTGGTTAAGCCATAATTAGAACAAAAGGATTCAGTTACAACTGAGCTGTAAAAGCACCAAGTGGTAGTGATTATTGCTGTAGTTTGGGGGAGAAAGCAAATTTCAGATTATTTTAACATACTTTCTTGGTTTTGGACTTTCATGGGCACATTCTCAGTACATCTTGCTCCAGTGAATCCAGGTTGGCACCTAGAGGGCAAAAATGTGATAAGCAATAGAATGCTATAGACACTGAGCTTTCAGACTGGCAATTTTCCTCCTATGGAATATGGAGATTCCTAAAAATGACTTGATACTGAACAACATAAAGAAGAGAAAAGACATGACATAGAGAAAACCATGTCCCATGAAAACTTGGGGTTATTGAGGTTTTTTTATTGTTTGCTTCAGTCTTCAAAAGACTTGTTAACTGAAATTTAACTAGAGAGAGGCTGGAAACTGAATAGGGTGGCAAGGCAAGGGCAGCTCTCATCCTCCCTTGGGCACCAAGCACTGATCCTTACTATTTTCAAACACTGGCTATGGTAGGCAATTCTGTAGTTTTACCTATGTCCTCTATCATTAAATGATCTTGAGCTTTTTGTACCAAATGTAGTACTTATTTCCTAGATATTTTCTAAGTTGTAAGTTCAATTATTACTATTAGAAAATCAAGCATTTTTGAGACTCCAATGATTACTGGGAAGAAAAACTACAGTCCCTGTTTTTTGAAAGATATTACAAATTCAGTATTTTTTAATGTTGACAGATATTGTAGCAGATTTTTATTAGTACAAATATCACCAGATCTAATTGTTCAAATCAGAGACAAACACATTTTTAACTTTAATTCTACAAAAGTATTTAATAGATGCCATTTTGCATTTAAGTACTGTTTTCAAGTTATGTCACATTTATATTTATTCACTCACATATATTTACCTGCTAAAATTCTAGAATCTGGACATACATAATACTGTTCTTACAATGGGGCTTGTTTTTAGATATGAAAGTCCTTTATAATTGCTCTTTTTTTTGCTGCTATTATTCTTGCATCTAAAGCATTCTAGGTTAGATTCATTTTACCCAATATCATGCTTTAATAAGTGAGGCCATTGAAGGGCTCCAGAAAGCAAATATACTTACAGGTAGAAAAAAAACACATTGTAAAACTTAACACCCATAGTCATAATTTTAATAGTTCACCATAGCCATTGTAAAGCACCTACGAACATAATTTAGCTCTAACAGAACCTACCTTGTGATTTTTACACAACCTTTTAATCTCCAGAGTAAGTAAGAATAAACACTATCACTCTTTTATGGCATCAAAGAGATAGGCATATGGCTAACAAACACGAAACCCTGAGTTTAAACCCCAGTACCACCAAAGAAAGAAATGCATAAAACCATTTATTTTTACTAATACAGTAGTTATTCCTTTTCCCTTCAAGCCAAACTCAATACAAAAAATGTTATTAAATGAGTTGGTACAGGAAGTCTTCTACTTCAGGAGGAATGACCTGCGAGATAAAATGCTAGTAGTTTCAGATTTTTTGTTGCCAGAGTACTTGTGCTATATAACCACAGACATTAACAGTAATATCAACAAGCTCAAACAAAAAACATTTGCATTGATATAGTGCCTTTGAACTCTTCAAAAAAGTTTTTGATTATTTTTGCTGAGAATACTTTGCTGGAGGAAACTGAAGAAGGTCTACTCAGAAAGATGTATAAGTAAGAACTATGACCTGGGTGGCAGGGGTAGTTATAAGAAATATGTCATCTTATATGCTTCAGTAAGAATGCCTATACAGCTATATAAGAAAAATACATGCTCATTATTCTATGTAAATTATTGGACAAAATCATTTCTGAAAAAAACAGGATTTTATTTGTTTCTTCGTAACCAGGACTATAGGTCCACATAGACATACTCTATACTGAAGCAGGTAATCCTAGAACTAAGGATTTATTTTTAATGACCATTTCATATTACTTGATTCCATTTTTTGATAAAAATTGAGAGTCTGATATTGAGCGCACAATACACTTGCTTCCTATAAAGAACATGGTATAAAATATGTAAATAGCCTGTGTGTGTGTATGTGTGTGTGTGTGTGTAAGAGAGAGAGAGAGAGAAGGAACACACTTATTAGGAAATTGTCATTTAGGTATCATATGTTTGATTAGAGGACACATGTCACTATATAAATGGGGTCAAAAATCTTACTCCATCAATTTTCTAATTATTAAGAACTTCTCATATGTTTCCAAAGAAACTAGCACTACAGGATGGTGATTTATCTCTATTATGTCATTTGGAATATTTGGAACAGAAATACTTGTGAAGTATATAGATCCTGTTTAGAATTATCAGCTGGATCTGAGAAAGAATTCATCCTTTTGGGGGGATGAATTTTCATAGTTATTTCCTAGTGTTACAGAGCCCCACAAGCAGCCCAAGTGTGGTCCACAGATCAACAGCATCTCCTAGGAACTTGCTAGTGGAAATGCAGAATCTCAGGCCCCAGTCCAGAACTGTGAAGAAGAAATCTTCACTTTAACAACACTCACCCCAAAATCTGCATGTATATGAAAGTTTAAGGTGCTAGGGACCCTGAACTGGGAAGATGAAAGCGAAGGCCCTCTATCCTGGCCACACACTATCCTGATGTTTGGACATTGGCTTTACTGGGCCTTATTTTCCTCAGTGATAAAAAGAAGTAATTTCACTAAGTGGTTTTCAAAGATCTTTACCACTGAGGTTATGGGAACCGATGCTCATCTTAACATATAGAATTAGAATCCTTGTTAAAAAATCCCAACATAGTTTCTTCTGAACATACTACCAGTCAGGGACAAGAGAATTCAAGAACTTCTAAAACTCAGTTTATGAGCTGGGACTGAAACTCAGTGGTTTTCCTACCATACTTGGGTTTGATCCCCATATCACAAAACAACAACAAAAAGTTACTAAAATCATTTTTGATAGAATGGATTTAAAGACAATCACAGAGCTAAAACAAATTGCAAATAATTCAAGTGTCCAGCCACAAAAGTCATTACTATGTAACATTCATTGACAGCTAGAGTTATTGCCAAGTCAGAGGGAGGGAAACGGAAACTGATCAGGCTGGTTCTGCCTAAGGGAACTGCAGACTCCTTTGACTGTGCAGAGAAAGCAGGAGAAAATGAAACTGTTGACCTAGAGCGCTGGAAGAACTCTCCGGAAGTGCTTCTCACAGAGTATGGAGACTGTCTAGCCTCTGATATATTTGTACTATTGTATGTTAAGCATCCAGTATGTCAACCTTTCTGGAACATAAGAATATGGCCAATTTGATTAATTCCAAGAATTGTATTTTTTAGAGAAATCTAAAGATTTGAATAAGAATCAAGCACTTGCTGTAGCTTCAAAAATATTTACACCCCCACGCATTTGTTTCATTGATCAGATTAGAAGATGGAAGTGTTTTAAAAAATAAATTCAGTATTTTCTGTTAGCATGATAATCTTTGTTTTCAATGGAATGCAAATTCAGTTTGTCGGAACATGTGTATCCCCTTTTCAATGAACCCGTCCCTGACTCCACACCCCTCTCCCCTCTTCCATGCTCTGGGAAGATTCCTTTGGCTCCCATACTACACCCTGTCCCAACCTCTTTCACTGCACTTAACTGTGTTGTGATTATCCTTGCGTGTGAACAGTCATCCTATTTCCATCATTTTGTACCTCTACTGACTAGCACAGTGTCTGTCCTCACAAAAGTGTGTTAAACTGAACTTCAGATCAGCTTGCACTGACTCATGAAGAACTGCATGAGAAGAAACTTTCACAAGTAAATTGACTTGCCAAGTACAAGTCGATCCTGAACATCTGTCTTTTATTTTTATAGTTTATGATAGATTCTGTAGACTCCCAAATAATTTTTATAGGAACTCTCAGTACCTTGTTCATAGATTTTCTTACCAAGTAAAACCCTTTAACATTGTATTTGCAATTTAGAAAAAAAGCTGTATGATTCTTTAAGAGTAAGTCTTAAAGTTTCAAATTTAAATCTTATTACTGAAATACCTGTTTACCTGGTGTTTAGTAAGCAGTACAACTCACTAACCAAGTTTTCTGCCAGCACCAGTAAAACAAAAACTGGTACTGGGGTCAAAACTCAGGGCCTTATGCTTGCTAGGCAAATGCTCTACCAGTTGAGACACATGTTCATCCTTTTTTGCTTTAGTTTTTTTCAGGAAGGATCTTGCTTTTTTTGCCTGGGCTGGCCTTAAACTACTATTTTTCTATCTACCTCCCAAGTAGTTGGGTTTACAAATGTAAGCTGCTGTGGCTGACCAAAACTGGAGTTGTTTAAAAAAATACATTTTCCTCAAAGTGGTGTTTATTATATTTACTTATGTTATGTTCTCTCAATCTTTCATTTTTTAAAATCCATATTAAGACAACCTACAGACTGAGGACTGCCAAAATTTCTTTAGCCCAGAGTCTAGTTATGACTTAACTAGTGTCACCTGTTCAACTTTACACACATGACCCAAAGTTTTATGTAGGCTTCTTTCAGCCACGAAGAATTGAGTTTTCTACAACCTATCAAACCATGATGATTTTAGGGGTACTGGCAATTACATTCATGGGTTTAATTAAATTGACAAACATAATAGCTTAATCCATTATAAAAAACTGTTTTAATAACAGTAATGTACTGTGAATAAACTGATTTATTTACTGTGAAATTAATCATAGATGCACATATTTTGAGAATCAGTTTAGTGCTTGGTATATTTTTATACTCTAACTGAAGAAATTACTTCCTATTTTGGTGAAGACTCTGGACATATTCAAAGATATTCATAGATGCCAAGAAACATCTTGTTATATAGGGTTGGCCAAATTTATAAATCATTGATCCCTTATAGCCAACTTATAAAACATCCTTAGATATCCTTTCTCTTCATTTCTGTATTTCTTGGTTTCATCTTCCTCAGGCCCTTCCTTTAGTAAGTAGGAGAAAGGAGAAAGAATCTATGGTGATGCTCTCTCTCTCTTTGGTCATGACTCCACAATGAGATACTTCAACAATTTTTAAAATGCCTTCTAAAAAAAGAAATAGGCCTTATTGTTTTTTTGCTCTCCCTCAATACTAGTTATGACATTTCCTTTTACACAGTACAGCAGCTGAAGCTATTTATTTGATGTGT